ATTTTTTAAAAACAAAGTCATGGACCCTAGGTTAAGAGTTCCCTGACCTAGACTATGAGTAAACAGCAAAATGATGAAAGAGGACCGATTGTGCAGCCTAGTTCTCTAATATCTACCAAATCTGCCACTAGAAATGAATGTCAGAAGGACCAATTCTGACTTATGGTCAGAGGAAAAATATTGAACTCGGAGTCCTGACTACTGGAGAGTGGAAAAAGCATTGACTGGAGAGTCAGAGGACCTGGGTCTTATCTTACCTCTGACACTTGACTAGCAAGTCAGATCATTCCCCTCCCTGGGCCTCAGTTTCCTCCTTTGTAAAATGAGGGACTTGGATTCGATGGCCTCGGAGGTCCCTCCTGGCTCTAGATCTGTAGCACAGCTGTAACATAGATCTGTAGAGTACCGGGGCCTGCAGTCAGGAAGACCTGAGTTCAAATCTGGCCTGAGATGCTTACTAGCTATAAGACCCTGGGCAAGTCACTTAACTGCTGTCTGCCTCAGTTTCCTCATCTGTAAAATGAGGATCATAATAGCACCTACCTCCTAGGGTTGTTGTGAGAATCAAATGAGATAATATTTGTAAAGTGCTTGGCACATTGTAAGTACTATGCAAATGTTAGCTATTATTATTAACCTTACAATCACAGTTTGAATCCTAGCTTTGCTATTTATTACCTGGGAGACTGTAGACAAGTCTTTTACCTCTCCACAATTCAATATTCTCCAGTGTTAAAATAAGGAGAATGATTCTTGCCTTACCAACCTCCCAGTGTTTTGGAGTGGAAGGTCCCTTGTAACCCTACAAGTCCAGAGAACTATAATTTAGTATTCAGTCCACAAACAGCAGCCTCATTCAGAAAATGATTCTCACACCATCAATGTGAATTTATCAATGTGAATTTAACAGGTTATTATCACCTCTATCATCAATTATCTCTAGGTAAATGAGTCCCAGATTGATCGATGAATCAATCGCTCTCTCTATATATATCTCTCTATATGTCTATAGATAGATACATCTACCTATAGATCTACAGAGCTAGATATATCTATCTAGATATATCTAGATATCAATATATGTATATAGATATATGTATATTGATATCTAGATATATATACATATCTAGATATATCTATAGATCTATATAGATATATCCATCCATAGAGAGAGAGAGATAGAGATATAGATATATAGACATAGTTATCTCCTGCTCTAATCTCTCTCTTGAACTCCATTCCCACATCACCAACACCCTTTTGGATATTATGAATTTGATGTCCCATAGGCATCTCAAACTCCATATATCCAGAATAGAATTCATTCTATTTCTCTCCTCCTCCCAAATTCCCTATTGCTGTCCACGGTACCACCATCCTCCCAGTCTCCTAGGTTTACAACCTCAGAGTCAACTCATCACTGTCCCTCACGTCCCCATGATCAATCTAATCAGTCTTGTCAATTCTACATCAGCATCTCTCATATCCATCCATTTCGTTCCACTCACATAGCCAACACCCTAGTTCAGACCCCCATGGCTTTTCACCTAGACTACTTCCATAGCCCCTTAATAGGTCTCCTTGTCTCAAGTTTCACCCCTTTCCAATCCGTCCTCCATTCTGCCACAAAAGTGATTTTCTTAAAGCATAGATCTGCCCATATATACATGGGTCTAGCCACCTCCCTACTCAAATGGCTCTCTAGGACTTCTAGGACCAAACAGAAACTATGTTTGGCATTCTATTATCTGCCCCACCTGGCCACTTCCTGTCTTTCTAGTCTTACTAAACAGGCCTCGAGTGCGGCCCTTTGACTAAATCCAAACTTCACACAACAAAACCCCTTAATAAAAAAGATTTGTTAGGCAAAACGTGGACTCAGTCAAAAGGTCTCACCCAAGGACCTAGAAGGCCACATGTGGCCTCGAGACCAAAGGTTCCCCACCACTGATCTAGGCATACTAGGCTTCTTAGCATTCCTTATACACGACACTCCATCTGATATCTTGTGTCTTTGTACTGACTGTCCCCCAAGGCTGGAATGTTCTCCCCCTTCACCTCCACCTCTTGGAATCACTGGCTTCCCTCAAAACTCAGCTTAAGTGGCAACTTCTACAGGAAGACTTTCCCTGGTTCCCTCCTGCCTCCCCTCCCTGCCCCTTTTCCCCACCCCAGCATTCTTTCAAAGGTAGCCTTGAATCTACTCTGTATACATCACTTGTTGCTGTTCAGTCATTTTGCAGCTGGGTCCGGCTCTACATGACCCCATTTGGGGTTTATCTTGGCAAAGATATAGGAGTGGTTTGCCATTTCCTTCCCCAGCTCATTTTACAGATAAGGAAACTGAGGCAAACAGGGTGAAGTGACTTCCCCAGGGTCACACAGCTAGGAAGTGTCTGAGACAGCATTTGAACTCAGGTCTTCCTGACTCCAGGCCCAGCACTCTATCCATTGCTAGGAAAACAATATATACAATGACAAAATTAGCAACAGAACTGAAGGCCATAGAACTACAACCACCAAATTTGGCACCAGAGATGATGTGACTCTTTGCAAAGGTGGGGGACAACAGTTAGAGAATATCATCCATGGTGGCAGACTCTGTCTCATGGTTGGCAGTGCCACCTAGCTGCCTGTATGCATTACAGATGCCTTGAAATGCACACAGCAAGGAGTATTTTTGCTTTTTTTTGTATCCCCAGGGTACACAATGTCTGGTACATAGTAGGTGCTTAATAAATGCTTGTTGATTATTCTACGAGAAACTGGCACTTGGGCAAGGTTCTCAGGGAACAAGGGAAAGAGAAAGGGGGGCTATTAAATCCATGTTATTTGACTGCTTTCATCATACTGAGCTCTAGCTTAAAAAAAAAAAAACTAAACAACTCTCTAGTTGCCCCTCATTTCCTACCATAATAAATCTAAACTCCTCTTTAAGACCCTTAATAATCTGTCCCCAAACCACCTCCCCTACCTGATTTTCCATTATTCCCCAAGATGAACCTTCTAATGTAGTTTCAATGGCCTACAAAGACACTATTTCCCATCCCCACCTTCAACGAGGGACCCTTGCCTTGATGCCAGCAATGTCCTCCTTTCTGTCTATCCAAACCCTACACATACTTCAGGTGCCCTGGCCTCCTCTACAATCCTCCCTGTTCTCCCTCAGTCCTGACCACTACAATACCAGGCTGGGAAAAGAAGACATTGCTGAGGGAGTTATGAATTGGTCCAACCATTCTGGAAAGCAATTTGTAATTATTCTTTAAAAAGTGGCTAAAATGTCCATATCCTTGAACCCAGAGATGCCCCAAACAGAAAGATCTCACATATATCCAAGTCTTTACTGCAGTACTTTCTGTGAAAGCAAAGAACTAGAGAGAACATAGGTGCCCATCAACTGGGGAATAGCTGAAGCCAATTATGGTCCATGAATGCAATGGAATATCACTGTGCCAACAGAAACTATGACGTGAAGAATTCAGAAAAGCACTGGGAAGATTCATATGACGCGGGGCAGCATGAAACACACACAATGACTAAAACGGCAACCTAACAAAGAAACAAAACTGAAGGCTGTGTGAAGGTGACGATAATCACCAAGTTTGGCACCAGAAAAGAGATGATGTGTCTCTTTGCAGAGATGGGGGACAACAGTTATGGAATATCATCTGTGGTGGCAGATTCTATCTGGTAGTTGGCTTTGCTGGACACTTTTCTTTCCTCTTTCCTTTCTAATCTTTGTTAATAAGGGATGGCTCACTGGGTATGGAGAGGTATTCCAAAATTAAGATGATGGAAAAACAAGTACCCTTGTGTATTGCGGGTCAAAGAGTTGGATAGGAATTTTCAAAGGAAGAAATCTGATGTCAAAAGACATCAATAGAAAAATAAAATTTTACAATAGAAATGTTATAGTATGTAGCATATACATAGTATTATATAGTCCTTAAGGGTCTCTACGACATAATTTGGGTACCTGATTCTGTCCGTTTTCTTGCCTCCCCAACTAGGTCAGAAGGTCCTTGAGTGTGGGGACCATAACACTAACATAAGGCTGAGTGAGTGGTGGGCGTTCAATACTCATCAATAAACTAACTGCTTTAGAGTCAGTTTGAGAGCACTGCACTGGGTTGTTTCCAGGCTAACAGCAGTGGGACCAAGTGAGACCCTACACCAACACACAGGAACAGAAGAGAGAGAGCTGATTGGCAATCTGGCTTAATTCAATCCTTTCTCTTCACCTCCCAACATTCCCTTCCCAGTAAGGTAAGGGATAATAACAGTGAGGTAACAGACAGCATGTCCTCAAGGGAGCTTTGAGGGTTGTTGTTTTGGGTTGGTTTTTCTGGTCCTCCTATATAAGAAAAGAGGGGGCTAGAGTTCCAGGGGTGGGGAACTTGAGGCCTGGAGGCCACAGGTTTCCCCACCCCTGGGCTAGACTATAGAAGCAATCTTTTGCTATTCCAAGATGATCATTAAGAAGTTAGTAAGTTGTTGCATGAGTCAGGACCCAGGCTGCTAGCACAAAAGGGGTTGGGGGGAAATAAGGGAGAGATCGAAGATTTTTGGTGTTATTACATAAATGAACATTTTCAACACCATTATTCTCTATGGTAGATCAGGTCACATTGGTGATGTCAAATCATACCAACGCCAGCAAAACCTCAAAGCTCCAGAATGGTACACACAAGCAGCAATTTTTGAATCTCGCCTAGGGTATATATACACACATGCCTCATTTCTGTCCGGCTAGAATACAAGAGGTCCCCGCTGCCTTAATGGAGTTTCAAGCTATGGAGAACCTCAAACTGCACTAAAAGACTTTTGGGACAAAGCTTAGGTAGACAACCTCACAAATCAGCTCTACTCACATAGCCTTTAATTACAGGAATCTCTGGGATGAACTACATGTCTCCTTTTCCTTAAGTCACATGCCCTATCCCAAACAAGAGCCTTAAATTTAAAAAAAAGAAAACTTTTAGGAAGGTTACCCACACCTGAAGAACAACAGGATTCCACTGGTGAAGAAGGAAATGAATGCTCAGAACTATCACTTTTTAAATATCAGCATTAATTTTCTGCCAACATACGTTCCCAAAGGAATCTTCTCTCAACCTGAAGAGCCCATATCAAAGACGCTTCATAGGAATCACACTGGAAAACAAAAAAAGAAATAAAAACAAGCCCTTTTAATAGCATGGGCTTCAAGCTGAAGATCAGTAGGGGACACATCTCTCATTTGAGAAGGAATCCGAAAATGAGACCAAAATGTTCATTATATCTTAAGACTTGCTACCTATCCAGGAAAGAAAACCCACAAAGACAAAATAATGCAACAAAACAAAAGCTGCTCCATGCTGGAGTCACAAGGTGCCAAGCAGAGGTCCCTGTAATAGTTTTAAAGACATACAGATATATATATATATATATATATATATATATGTAGCTATATTAAATAGCAAGAGAGAAAATACAAGGGGAAGGGGAAGGTACAAGCTTAAGTACTTCATTATAAACCTTGGATAAAGATTTGGTTCAGCCTCCTCTCTGTGGATTCTC